AAAGAATAAAATATTTTAATAAATGCACGATTAAAATTCCCTGTTTCATTTATACCTTCTTTTTTAAACGATAAAAATTCCTCCTTTTTCTTTTTCACCAAACATTTATAATGTCTTACAGTATGCATCTATATAATACAAAACAAAAATTATAATTATCATTTTAAATATCTTAACTTAATTTTGCATATACTTACAGTGAGTTTATGTTAAATTACAAATTATATTTTATTTATATTTTTGATTTTATTTTGATTTTAAAAATTAAAAATTGTTCACTGCACGCACTTCACTAAAATCAAAAGCAGACTAAATGTATACAATGTAGGCAAAACAAGAAATTCTTAATACTCATATGCTTTTCTTCTTCATTCTTTTATAATTTCAACCCCGAAATTGCCTATGTCGATCACAAATGTCGAAAAGAAAGAAAAATAAAAACGAAGAGCTATTACCTCCTCGCTTACTTTTTCAGCGCTGGCATAATGGTGCCGCTGGGTATATGCTCTTGCATATGTTCTTGCTTATGCGTTAGCTGCTTGTGTTTTGCTATAAGTAAATGTGTATGGATTTTTTATTTTTGTTTTTGTTTTAAGGGAATGTGTACGCATTATTTCTTTGTTGGTGCATTGAATATACCCAGCGGCACCATTATGCCAGCGCTGAAAAAGTAAGTGAGGAGGTAATAGCTCTTCGTTTTTATTTTTCTTTCTTTTCGACATTTGTGATCGACTCAGGCAATTTCGGGGTTGAAATTATAAAAGAATGAAGAAGAAAAGCATATGAGTATTAAGAATTTCTTGTTTTGCCTGCATTGTATACATTTAGTCTGCTTTTGATTTTTGTAAAGTACGTAATATTAGTGAACAATTTTTAATTTTTAAAATCAAAATAAAATCAAAAATATAAATAAAATATAATTTGTGAATTTAAAATAAACTATGCAAAATCAAGTAAATATATTTAAAATGATAATTGTAATTTTTGTTTTGAATTATATAGATGCATACTGTAAGACATTATAAATATTTGGTGAAAAAGAAAAAGGAGGAATTTTTATCCTTTAAAAAAGAAGGTATAAACGAAAAAGGGAATTTAAATCGTGCATTTATTAAAATATTTTATTTTTTTATAGAAAATGATTTTCAAAATTTTGGTTCGAAAACAACACCTTCCTGCAGTACAGCTAAACATATTAATAGTGATATTAATAAGTAAATATTTAAATAAATTAATATGAAAATATGTTAATAATTTAATATGTAAATAAGATAATATTTAAATAAATTAACATGTAAATAATTATATATAAATAATTTAAAATGATATGATATGTAAATATGTTATACTCTTTTATGTAAATATTAATACTTTAATTTTATAAACCATAAACATAAAATATAATTTATCCCAAAAAATTTTTAGTATTTTATTTAAAAATCAATAGCATAGGTAAAATTGAAAAGGTAAGCGAACATATCAGCGCTGATATGTTGCATTACAAATTTGTAAAAGTAAGCTAACATGTCAGCGCTGAAATGTTGCATTAAAAATTCGTAAAGGTAAACGAGCATGTCAGCGCTGAAATGTTGCATTACAAATTTGAAAAGTAATCGAACGATTACCTTGCCCACAATGACATGCACGTGTTAAAGTAATAAGAAGTTTCCTTTGAATAATCAGCGCTAGGCATTACCATTCAGCGCTGAGGGAATCGATTCCCGCTGGGTAGTTATGCAAAATTGTAAGTAATGTGTGCGCGTACAATTTGTATGCAAATAATATGATTTTATCTGTAATTAGATTATGTCTAAATTTGTGTTTTTTTTAATTATTAAATTTATGATTATGAATTAATTAATTATAATTAGTAATTATTATAATATCACTAGCTAACCCGGCGAACGTTGTCTGCCCTTGCAATTATTTTTCCTTGCTGATTACAAGGAGTTGTAATTTGTTGTTATTCCAATATCTGTGTAGATAAAGAGATTGTCAGGTTTAACCGTGTAAGAAGCAATCAGTGTGTAGAATTAAACCGCATAATTTTAAGAATAAAGCCTGAGCAATGTTAGTAGTGTCCGTATATGTCTACTTAACTTTTAGCATTTAATGCGAAAATTATTTTGAATTTTTTTTTGAAACTGCAAAAAGCTCACACGCATTACTTATGTTACAAATATTTTCATGTTATTTCATATCCTTATAAGCACTACATTTCAAATGTAAAGCACTACATTTTAATATTATATTAACAGTTTAATTATGGGCTACTATAATGTTACCTTAAAGCCAAATCATGAGCAATATTTTTTGTTATGTCATTTTAAGCGTATATATATAGATCAGAAGCTTTTCCAACATGGTAACATGCAACATACAGTTGCCCATGCGAAAAACATGGATTTTCCAAATTCAGTCCACTTACTTTTAGTGTTTGACTTTGAGATTTATTAATTGTCATCGCAAATGCTTAACGAATTGGAAATCGCAATCGTTTGAATTGAATTGGAACATCGGTTGGTATAATTGGTATGCGTGGAAGCAATATATTTTCTCTCTGAATTTTCCAATTAATATTGTTGATTCAATTAAGTTCATCATAATTCTTTTTATAACTAATCTTGTTGTTCCATTGCATAATTTTTGTGGGTTTAGCTTGCTTAATAAAATGATTGGTGAACCAATTTTTAAAAGTAAATTCTGTGGTGGTAGTCCTGGCAAATCAAGCGAATTTAAAAACTTAGTGAGATAATTCACAATCTCGTTTTCATCTACCACTTTGTCGATGGATTTCATCAGCATAGGTTGAACGTAGAATAACTGGCAATGTTTGTCTAAAATCACCTGCCAATAAAATTAAAGCCCCTCTAAAAAGTCTACTGGTGGCATTTGAATTTTTAAGTGCTTGATTTAATGCTTCCAATGAATATTTATGTGACATTGTGCATTCATCCCAAACAATGATGTGACATTTTTGAAGTACTTTAGCTATATTTGAATGTTTTTTTTTATATTGCAGACATGCAATAAATAATTGCTTCATTATGAATAAATATATAATAAAAAATTGGTAAATTAGATATCATATGAAATTACTATTTTTTTCAAATACATGATGAAAACTATAATTTCATTTAACTTTAACATTACTGACATAAATATATTTATTAAAAAAGAATATTTTGACCAATTTTCAATTTATTTCAATTACCATATAGAATTTCTATTATATCTGTCATTTCTGCTACTTCGTAAAAGTTCGAACAATATACCAGAGTTCGGAATGTGGTGCACAAAATCGCACACTGCACTGTGCGAGTGGAAATAATTTTTAAAATATGCACACGCACATTTGTGGTGTTAAGAAAAAAAATGCACGCACTCAAATTTGTTGTGCGGTTTCAAATTTCACATCGCACAAAGCGATGATTGTGCACACAGATTCGTGCACACACATTTGTGCTATCCCACCCTGTGCTATCCCACCCTGCGGGATAGGGGTTAGAATATTCCCGCGATAAGGCATGCCTGTCGTAAGAGGCGACTAAAATCCAGCTAGGCGTCGGAGGGTGTGGCTTAAAAGGTCACAGAAACCCTGAGAAGCTCCTAAGCTGAGCCGAGTAGATGCCGGCTCTAACTAAGCGTCCACCATCCCGGGATGGCATCGAGGGATACGTAAGCGCACAATGTCTGCTTCCAATGTGAGAGCAATTGATGCACCAACGAGGGAGTCGGAAATGCGCAGCGTCTGTATATCATGTTAGGGACGACTGTCGCATCACAATTCACATACGAGAGATGATAATGGAGGAAGCCTATAAGAAAAGACATCAGGATCGATACCAGTAAGATTCTGATTACGGCATACTGGACAACAGCAAACGATTGGACATGATGACATGATAATGGGGAAAGCCTATAAGAAAAGGCATCAGGATCGATACCAGTAAGATTCTGATTATGGTATACTGGAGCAAACGATTGGATATGATGACTTGGGCTGGTGGATGATGTATTCTGTTACCAATATGGGCTAGAGTGAAATCTGGTCCAGACGGCTTTCAGGCTAATGCTTTATCAGCCTCCGTCCCGTTAAAACCTGGCAAGCCTTAAAGAACGATCTTGGATTCGTCCTGTTAAGTTGGGGTGTAGGGGCAGTTAAGAATATCTGCTGCTTAGCTCCCGGTTTGGCTCTGAACACATGCGCTCATAAGGCTATGTGTCAACCCTCGCATGACCTCCCTGCATTGCAAAGATAATCATGGAACCACAATAAGGGTAACTACACAACGAAACCAAGATA